CTATCATGGCTTTGCAGATGAGACGCAGGTATATCTATCAATGTCCCAGGTTCAATTCAGGTGCTGATATGACCACAAAGTCAATCATTGAACTGCGGCTAAGGGTCTCCTGGTGCCAAGTCCACATATGGACACCCATATGTTTGAACATGGTGTTCGTTATGGACAATCCATGACGAGCACACCAGTCCTATAACAAATCACCACTAGATTTCTGATGGTGGTGGGGAGGGGCGTGGGGGGCTTGCTCCCAATCACGCACTTCCAGATCTCACTGTCAAGGCCCACGTGAGCATTGAAGTCCGCCAGCAGAATGAGGGAGTCCCCAGCGGGAGCACTCTCCAGCACACCCTGCAAGGACTCCAAAAAGGGTCGGTACTCTGAGCTGCTGTTTGGTGCATAGGCACAAATACCACACTTTTTTTTTTTTTGTAAAATATGCAAATTTCCAAGAGCACACAGTTGCACCCAAGTAGAAAATAATTGACCTCAAGATGTAATGTGAAAGAAAGCATAACTCTCCATTTGGCTGAGTCGTCACTTGGCTGATGGGCTCGCTAGCTGTCTGAGAAAACTCTGCTGACCTGGGAGCATCCAAATTAGATATTGGCACGGCTGAATGCATGACACACTGGGAGCACTGCTCTGGTGCACTCACCCTGCTCTGATCCTGGCTGCCGCTCAGCTCAGACCAACACAATGCATCAGCGGGAGAGACAGCATTTCCAGAGCCTCATTAAGCTGCCAATAATAGCAAGACAAAAGTAGAACCTACTGAGAACCCAGTTGTTTCATTTTTTTCAATACTATATTTGATTATATTTCAGTTTCATCCTCAATAATGCCTTTTTGAAGTGTTGCATAACAATGACCCATTAGGAAGAACTTTATATAATCATTTCTCATGGTTGTCATGGCTTCATCTATTCTATATCACTTAGAACCTTGCCTTGTACGCTAGTGAAGGGAGTGAAAGGAAGAAGAGATTGTTAAAAAAGAGATGGTGGAAAAAACACAGCATGGTCTTTTGATAGCGACAGGAAAGGAGCAACAAAAAGGAGCGAGAATGAAGTGACCTCTGACAATGATCAGTGATACTTAGGGAAAATGCTTCACATTCCTACGTACGCGATTGTCACTTTTGGAAAATCACTTGGGGCAGCTGAGAAAACACCCCATGGCTTATGACATGGCTCCATTCTATTAATACATTTTTTTCCTGGGTGGAAAAGTGCTAAAACCTGAGTTTCATAACAAAGAAGTAAGACTTCCTCTCAAGAGCCTTGCTTGTCAGCACATGGTAAAAAGATGAGCATTGCAAGATGAGCATTGTGTGAGTTTTAAGATATTTCTCTTTTTTTTCATCCATCCTTTCATTTTCTAATCGGCTTATCCTGATAAGCGTTGCAGGTGTGCTGGAGCCTATCCCAGCTATCTTTGGCCAGCAGGCTGGATACACCCTGAATAGGTTGCCAGCCAATCGCAGGGCAGACATAGATGAACAACCATCCACACTCACAATCACACCGAAGGACAATTTAGAGTGCTCCATTAACCTGCCGTGCATAATTTTGGAATGTTGGAGGAAACCGGAGTACCCACACAGGTACAAGGAGAACATGCAAACAACACACAGAAAGGCCGGAGCCGGAAGAGAACCCTGCACCTCTGCACTGTGAGGTGGACGTGCTAAGCAGTGCCACACTTTGTTTCTCTCTCAAAGTTAAAAATTATTTGGGTGATATGAAGTTCAATGGTTTTCAAAGTTTTTACACCAACTACCACCATCAAGACCAATGTATAAATACATTTTCTTAGTAGCCCTACGTGTTTAATAAAAACAAAACAAAGGTTTTATTTGTAAAAAATGAATATATAGGGGTGTTCACACGTGTTTTAAAACATTTCTGATACCTCGCCTGGGCTCAGTATCAAATTTAAATAGGATCGTTGGAGATAGGCACTCAGAAATGAACCACAAGAGACAATTCTGTTGCTAACAAATGGCACTTTTATTAGACCAACAAGAAATGTCACAAAGCAAGCAGCAAGCGATATATTGAGCTCTTTAAGAATGAATCAACTCTTACCGTGCGCCAACAGGATGGAGAGCCAACACCCTTGGTAGAGCGAGCTTCAATCCCAGCTGGGCGTCCGTACGCAACCCGCAGCAGACTCTACCAAAGGGTCGGCAAAGCCTCCTCTTATCCTTCTCTGAGCGTGTGCGAAAGAAGGGGTGAGTGGCCAACTCAGCCCTTCTGGCGCCACACTTGCTTCTTTATCAACTGGCGTTTCACAAACTATTATGCTGAACAACTCCTTCTCACGCAATTCTGTTATGTTGTCATGAGGCCGGTCCTGGGAAACAGGAGCCATCTGGCCCCACCTATGAGAAATGAAGTCCGATGGCTCCTGAGAAACGGGAACTCGTTGAAAACAACACGTTATACAACATCTGCCTCGGCGTGTTATCAAATCAACATGTTATAAAACGGAGTATTTTGTGAGGAAAACAGCATATTTTGATCATTATCATATCAATCACTTTCGGCATTTTATAAAAATTTGTTTGTTTTTAAACAA